TTATTGTAATAGCCCCAAATTGGAAACAATCTAAATGTCCATCAGTGGGTGAGTAGATAAACAAACTGTGCTACATCTATACAATGGAATATTACTCACCAATGAAAAGAAATGAACTACAGATATATAGACACACACAGATGAGTATCAGAATAATCATGCTGAGTGAAAGAAGACAGATAAAAAAGGATACATACTGTATGATTCCATTTATATAAAATTCTAGAAAATGCAAACAAACACATAGAACCAAAAAGCAGATCAGTAACTGTCTGGGGATGAGAAGGGATGAGGAGGGGCAGGAAGGAAAGAGTACAAAGGGGCACAAGGAATCTTTTGGGGGTGATAGATACGTTCATTATCTTGATTAAGGTGATGGTTCATGGGTGGATGCATATGTCAAAGCTTATTAAATTGTGTAAATTAAGCAGGTGCAATTTATTGTATGTCAATTATACCTCAATAAAGCTGTTAAAAAAAATCCAACAGAACAATCCACTCAACCATCCCTGATGAAGCAGTGGAGTTTAGGCAGTGATTATAGACAAAAGTGGGACTGTCTGTGCCTCCTGCCGAAGTTACCTTGTGAAAAAATTGGATCTGAGTCTGAACGAGCCTCTAGACAGAAAACATAGGGGAAGAGGGACGTGTTAAATGATGCAAAAAACAAAATTCAGACTGAGGGGAATTCCATAGGACAACCATCCAGATTCTTTAGCAAATAAAAGGGAAGGAAAAAAAAAAAAATGGTGAGTGGGGACTAACAGAATAAGAGAAACCTAAAATACATATTAACCAACTGCAATGTATGGACCTGTTCAGATATTTATTTGAACAAACAGTAAAAAGATTCATAAAACAATTAGAATAATTTGAACACTGAGTAGATAATAATGCAATCCAGAAAATATAAAGGTCTTATATGTAATAATTGTATTATGGTTATGCTTAATAAAATTTCTATGTTTTAGAGCTACATGGGAGCTTTGGTAGCATAGTGCCTAAGGCACTTGACTGCTAACCAGAAGGCTGGCGGTTCAAACCCACCAGCCACTCCTCGAAAGGAAGATGGGGCAATCTACTTCCGTAGTGATACTGCCTCGGAATCGACGGCACATAACAACAACAACAGAGCTACATACTGAAATATTTAAAGATAAAGTGATATGATGTCTATGATTTGAGTCAAAATAACCCAATGGGGAAGGGAAGTGTGTAGAGGTATAGAAAAAACATAACTGGCCATAAATTGGTTAAGTTGGATAATGAGAATATAGGAATCTACAATATTCTTCTCTCTACTTTTGTGTATGTTTGAAATTTTTTCATAATAAAATGTAGTATTATGAAAGAAAAAGCTCTGTAAAAATAGTGAGTTTTTGAAATCTGCAAAAAAAAAAAAAAGAAAGAAAAGAAAAAGCTCAGTCAAGTTCAGCTTTTGTTCAGCTTTTCTCTGATCTCTGTAACGTGGCTAAATAGTTCACATTGGAGTTGGTCGTTGGAAATTGTGCAGCAGCCTTTGTCAGAAGCATTTTTTTGACCTCCTGCAATATATAACCACTCTTTGCTGTTAGTTACTGTTAAGTCAATTCTGATTTACAGCAATCCCATATGTTTCAGAGTAGAACCGCTCCATAGGGTTTTCAGGGCTGTGACCTTTTGGAAGCAGATTGCCAGACCTTTCTTCCCAAACACCTCTGAATGGGTTTGAACCATCAACCTTTAGCTAGTAGTCGAGTACTTAACCATTTGCGCCACCCAGTGATTCCAACATAACCTCTCTAGAATCACTTAATTTTAAAGCCTATACTTTTTTTTAATGGGTGAGATGGGAGAGGAGCAGTAATGAATGTAATGTGTTTTATTGTTGTAGTTTGCCGTCGAGTCGGCCCCGACTCATAGCGACCCCTCCTTGGGTTTCCGAGGCAGTATCACTATGGAAGTAGGATTGCCCAACCTTCCTTCCGCCCAAACTTCCTTCCGAGGAGTGGCTGGTGGGTTTGAACCGCCAGCCTTCTGGTGAGCAGTCAAGTGCCTTAGGCACTATGCTACCAGTAAAGTTAAAAAAAAAAAAAAAAAAAAATCCACAACCAAACCCACTGCCATCCAGTCGATTCTGACTCTAGCAACCCCCATTGGGTTTATGAGGCAGTAAATCTTTATGGAAATAGATTGCCCAGTCTTCCTTCTGTGGAGTGACTGGAGGGTTTGAACTGCCAACCATCTGGTTAGCAGTCAAATGCCTTAGGCACAATACCCACTGCCTTTAAGTCAGACATGACTCATAGCGACACGACCCTTTCTTGGGTTTCCGAGGCAGTTATCACTATGGAAGTAGATTGCCTAACCTTTCTTCTGAGGGGCGGCTAGTGGGTTTGAACTGCCAGCCTTCTGGTTAGCAGTCAAATGTCTTAGGCACTACACTACCAGAGCTCCCTCAGGCTCAGCAGTGAGAAAAAAATCTTTCTTTCATTTGTCTTAAATTTGCCTTTCCCAAGGGTAGAGTCCTTTTCTTTCAGTTGTCAGATTTACCAAATAAAAACACATGATGCCCAGTTAAATCTGAATTTCAGGTCAACAATAAATACTTTTTGTTTAAATAAATATGTCCCTTGCAATATTTGGTGTGGAGCCTTGTAATATTTGGAACATATTTATATTTAAAAATCATTTGCTATTTATCTAAACTTCAAATATAACTGGGCATCCTGTATTTAATCTGGCAATACTTCCTTTTCCTGATCTTCCTGGTTTCGGAGAATTTTAGTTTAGACCATCATGCATCTCTCAGTCTGTGCCTTTTCAGATCAAATCTTTGTCAGGATTTCTCCAACACTGAGGTTGGCCTTTCTGTATTCTCTGCTTCCATTTCTGAAGATCCCTGGGTGGTGCAAATGGTCTGCATTCAGTTACTAATCAAAACCTACTCAGCAGTGCTGTGCAAGAAAAGTCTGGTGATCTGCTCCTGTAAAGATTACAGCCAAGAAAGCCCTATGGAGTCGTTCCACTGTAATACATGGAATTGCCATACATCAGAATCGACTCAACAGCAGTGGGTTTGGTTTTTCTTTTGGCTTCCATTTCTACTTTCTTGGAGGAAGAGATTTGAATTGCGCATAGTATTGCTGGTGTGGGGAATTCAGCATGATGCCAAGCACCTTCATAGATATTACATACAGTGGCTGTAACAATGGGCTCAAACATAGCAACGATTTTTGAGGATGGTGCAAGATAGGGCAGTGTTTCTTTCTGTTGTATATAGGGTCTCTATGAGTCAGAGCCAACTCAATGGCACCTAACAACAACGTACTTTAATCTTCACAATGACCTTGTAGGTTGGATATATTATTATCCCTATTTTGTAGACAAGGAAATAGAGGCTCAGAATAACTTCTCCAAGTCACTTGGTTGATAGGTGGATCCAAATGTGGATCTTTCTGATGCAAACATCCAAGTCCTTTCTCCTAGGTTCTGGGGCTCAGAACCAAGAGTGGGTCTCTATAACTGTTTTACCAAACTGCCTCCTTTATGCAGTGCTCACTTGGAATCTCCCGATCTCTGATTTGTATCTTAGCACTGTGGAGTTCATCACCTGCAAGGGAATTGCCAGAAAGATATCAATTATTCACAACTCTGATTTCCCCTGCCTACCATGGGAGGACTAGTAAGGGCCCATGCAGGATCCTCCAGGATCTATTGCACACTTACTAATGACTAGGCATTTGCATATAGAGTTTCTCATTTAATTCTTAGAGGAGCCATGTGAGATTCAGATTTTCAGTTCCATTGCACTAAAGAAGACTGAGGATCAGAGAGGCCAATTCTCTTGGCCCAGGTTGACACAAAGGAACTCTGGTGGCATAGTGCCTAAGGCATTTGACTGCTAACCAAAAGGTTGGGGTTCAAACCCACTAGCCACTCTGCAGAAGGAAGACTGGGCAATCTACTTCTGTAAAGATTTACCACCTCGGGAGCCCAAAGGGGGTCACTATAAGTCAGAATTGACTCAATGGCAATAAGTTTGGTTTTGGGTTTGAGGTTGACACAAAGCCACTCCCCTCCAGTCACACCCAAATCTAGAAAGTTGCACTCAACTTTCTCCATTCCATGCTGTCCTGGTGGTTGCCTAAGTGTCTGTGCTCCCAACAGTATGTAAACTCTTCAAGGGAGAGGCCTCCCTGTTCTTAGCTCTGGGCTAGGAACATGGTTAAAAAAAAAAAAAAAAAAATGTCCAAACCAGCTGCCTTTAATTTGTTAAGATTCTGACTCACGGCAACCCCATGTGTTGCATTTGCAGATTAGAATCGAACTTCACAGAATTTCATGTCTGTCACATTTCAGAAGCAGATGGAGGTGTCTCTGGAAGGATTTGAACTACCAACCTTTTGGTTTGCAGTTGAGCTCTTAACCATTTATACCACCCTGGACTTGGGGCACACAGTAGGCATTTGATAAATACATGTTCACCATTGTTACCAGACTCCCTTTGGTCAGGGAACGGAGCCTTCCAGTCTGAGAGGTCCTGTGGTAGCATGAGAATCCTGGTGCAAGGGAAGAAGCTGCCCTGTTCATCTCAGCACATAGCTCAGGGCCTGGCCATTGGCACTCCATAATATTTGTTGAATAAATTAATGAAAGAGAAACCTGGGCTACCAGGGGGTGAGGAAACCGGTAAAGATGCTGCCCTGGGATTATTTAAGACACTATGAAGGAGCTGTGGTAGCATATTGCCTAAGGCATTTGACTGCTAACCAGGAGGTTGGCAGTTCAAACCTACCAGCGACTCCATGGAAGGAAGACTGGGAAATCTACCTCTGTAAAGATTTACTGCCTTGGAAACCCAAAGGGAGTTGCTATGAGTCAGAATCAACTCAATGGCAGTGAGTTTGGTTTGGTTTTGGAAGGGACCCTGGCTCTGAGGGTGGGGGCTGGAGCTTCCCAGGACTGAGATGAGTCAAGAAAGTGAATCCATCGTTCTGGAGGCTATTTTGGCTCCTCACCTGGATTAAGATGGTCTCATCAAAGAACTTTGCAGGAACCTCATGAAAATTCTGGAAAAAGGTCTGAGGTAGAGAGAAAAAAGTTAAGATTGGACCGTGTTTCTTCAGACATTCACCTAAGGACTCAATAAACTTGAAGACTCAGAATACTGCTTCTTTAACCTCCATTACCCAATCCAATGACTTTCAGCTCATTAACATGTTCTTGCTCCATTGGAAGCACAGGTCTCCTGAGCTCTTGGAGGGTTTCATGGCTCTATTAACAGCATTCCCAGACCTGTGTCAACTCCAGTTTTGCCTCACTGTAGCTGTTTATATGACCCCCATTAGACCACCAGCTCCTCAAATGCAGAGCTCCAAATTATTCTGTTCTGCATTGCCAGTGCCAAACATAGTGCTTAGCTCCAAGTAAGTGCTCACTCAGTAAATGTTTGTGGAACGAACAATGAAAATGCCCTCGTCAAGAAGCAAGCTTGTCAGCTGCCTGTAAAAAATGCCCAAACTCTGGCTGGCCCACCCTGCCTACATGCATTATGTTCCATTGAGCCCAAAGGGTCTGTGGCACTCACCTCATTGAAGAAAGGGTTGTTTCCCAACTTGATCCTCGTGTGGTACTCCTGGCCTCCAATGGTTAACTTCACCAGTGGCCTGATGTTGTTGCCCATGAGCTGCCGGGCTTCAAACACCTTCACTCGAACCTACAGAGGAAAACACAGGGGCCCAGTTTTGGGGATCTGGCCTTACCTTCTCAACTCTCAAGGGCTCTTCCTTCAATAATAAAATTGTTCTGATGAGAAACATTCTAGCTACTTCAGATAAAAAGAGAACACACAGGAAGAAGTTAGGAGGAGGTGGCACTCTGCCTGGCTGAAGGCATGCCCTGGGAAGGCCATGGTTATTTATGTCTCCTCTTCTGGGAACTGTCACTTCCACCTCTTTGTCCTTTCCTTCTTATGTGGACATACTTTTCTCTTCTCAATTGACAAGGGCTTGTTTCAGAATAAGGAAGAGTTGAATAAAGAGTTCCTGGGTGGTGTAAACAGTTAACGTGCTTGGCTGCTAACAGAAAGGCTGGAGGTTGGCATCCACCCAGAGGTACCTTGGAAGAAAGGCCTGGTGATCTACTTCTGAAAAAATCAGTTCACTGAAAACATTATGGAGCATAGCTCTGCTCGGATACAATGGAGTTGTCATGAGTCAGAATGAAATTGACTTGATGGCAACTAGTTACTATTTCTCAGTTGTTTGCTTTTTATATTTTAATCTATTATCTTTTACAGGAATTGAAATATTAAAAGTTCTGTGCAGTTGAATCTATGATCTGTGATTTGTGATTTCTTCTTCTGCTTTGATGTACCCTGCTCAAACTCAGTAAAGGGACTATGACATCTCAGCCTAAAATCAGAAGGCAGGAGGGGAGATGAGAAATGGAGAACTCATGAAAGATAAGGGCTGGCTAAGGTGCTGCAAGGTGAAAGAACTGGAGATGGGCAGTGGCTAGCAGGGTACAGTCATAGGAGCTTGTCGTCTCTGACTATAAATGATGCTATGCACTGAATTCTGTTTCACAAAAATATGTGTTGGAATCCTAACCCCTATATTTGTGGATGATTACATAGAAATATTTGTTGTGTTAATATCACTGTAGGATGTGTCCTAACTCTAATTACTTCTGAGTTATAGAAAGCAGATTAGACATAGAAATACATATTGGGAAAAGACAAACTCTATCAGAGGCAGACGAACATATAAGTCCAAAAACTACCAGCTACCTAAAAGCTGAAATAGACCAGAAAAACTGGATGGTGCCCATCTACCACTGTCAACACCTCAGAAAGGGACCAGTACAGGAGATCCTGGATAGAGTGAGAAAACAACATAGAACTCAAAGTCATATAAAAAAGACCAGGTTTACTGATCTGATAGAGTCTAGTGATACCCCTAAGACTATGGCCCCTAGTTACCTTTCAGGTCTGGAACTGAACTCACTGCTGTGGTTTCCTGCCAAACAATAGACAAGCATAAAAGGTGAACATTTACCTTAGGTAGATACACTCCTTAGAGTGATCAATCATGGGAGAACAGAAGGGCAGTGTTTGCACAAGGAGATAGCTCAGGGGGCAGGAATACATAGGAAAGAAGGACACAAGGAAGAGGTAACTACTACAGGGAAGAAGTGGAAAGAGAGCTGTTACATTGTGGGGAATTGTAGTCAATGTCATGAAACAAAATATGTATGAACTACTGTATGGAAAATGAAGTTGCTCTATAAACTTTCACCCAAATCACAATAAAAATTAAAAAAAAAAAAAAGAGGATGAAATAGACAAAGAAAGGACCTTCTCCTATAGCCATATACTAAATTCAGACTTCTAGCCTCCTGAACTATAAAAAATATATTCCTGTTCTTTAAAGTCACCCACTTGTGGTATTTCTGTTATAGCAGCACTAGGAAACTGAGATCACCACTCGTCTGTCAGTCTGTTGTACTGTAGTGACTTGCATGTTGCTGTGAGGCTGGAGGTTATGCCACAGGGATTTCAAACACTAGCATGGTCACTGTGATGGTTGGAGCTGTGTGTCAACTTGGCTAGACCCCAGTTCTGTGTGGTTGTTCCCATGATGGGATCGAATGACTGTGTTCTGAGTGGCCAATCTGCCAAGGGGAGTTTCCCTAGGGGTGTGGCCTGTCTCCAGGATATCCAGGGACATTCTGGGAAGAGAGACATTCTTCTGTGGATTGGGACTCTGGTGTGCTGCCTACAACCTTCCGTGAGTGAGCAGCGCACCGTTCAGCCTGGAGATCTTGGATTCCTCTTTCATTCGAGTCAACAGCCAGTGTACTGCCTGCCAGCCTTGAGCTTCTCAGCCCCCTGCGGTTGCGGAATCTAAGTCTGCCTCCAGCCCGACGTTTCCTCCAGGGACTTTGGACTTGCCGGCTTCTATACGTTTGTGAGCCATTTTCCTAAGATACATTTCTCTCTCTCTTTATAAATATATATATATATATATAAGCTTTGCTGGTTTTTGTTTCTCTAGAGAAACCAGTCTAACACAGTCACCTATGGTGAACAGGTTTCAGTGGAACTTCTAGACTAAGATAGACTTGAAAGAAGGAAGGGACCATCCACTTCTCAAAGTATTGGCCAGTGAAAACCTTATGAATAGGAGTGAAAGACTGTCTGATATATTACTAGAAAACTTTATGAATAGCCCTGAAACACTATCTGTTATAGTGTTGGAAGATGAACCCCTCAGTTGGAAGGCACTCAAAATGCGGCTGGGGAAGAGCTGCCTCATCAGAGTAGAACCAACCTTAATGATATGGATGGAATAAAGCTTTTGGGACCTCCATTTGCTAATGTGACATGACTCAAGATGGGAAGAAACAGCTGCAAGCATTCATTAATAACTGGAACATGGAATGTATGAAGTATGAATCTAGAAAAATTGGAAGTTGTCAAAAATGAAATGGAACACATAAAGATCAATATCCTAGGCATTAGTGAGCTGAAGTGGACCAGTATTGGCCATTTTCAGTCAGACAACCATATGATCTACTATGCCAGGAATGACAAATTGAAGAGGAATGGCATGATATTCATCGTCACAAAGAATGTTTCAAGATCTATCCTAAAGTACAATGCTGTCAGTGATAGGATAATATTCCTATGCCTACAAGGAAGACCAGTTAATACTATTATGATTCAAATTTACGCACCCACCACCAAAGCCAAAGATGAGGAAATTGAAGATTGTTACCAATTTCTGCAGTCTGATATCAACAGAATGTGCAATCAAGATGTATTGATTATTACTGGTGATTGGAATGCAAAAGTTGGAAACAAAGAAGACTCACTAGTAGTTGGGAAATATGGCTTTGGTGATAGAAATGATGCCAGAGATCTCATGATAGAAATATGTAAGACCAACAACTTACTCATTGCACATATCTTTTTCAATGACATAAATGACAGCTATACACGTGGACCTCATCAGATGGAGTATGCAGGAATCAGATTGACTACATCTGTGCAAACAGATGATGGAGAAGCTCAATATCTTCAGCCAAAACAAGGCCAGGAGCTGATGGTGGAACAGACCATCAATTGCTCATAAAGAAGTTCAAGTTGAAGCTGAAGACAATTAAAACAAGTCCACAAGAGCCAAAACATGACCTTGATGATATCCCACCTGAATTTAGAGACCGTCTAAAGAATAGATTTGACACATTGAACATCAATGACTGAAAACCAGACAAATTGTGGGACATCAAGAACATCATACATGAGGAAAGCAAAAAGGTCATTAAAAAGACAGGAAAGGAAGAAAAGACCAAAATGGATGTCCAAAGAGACTCTGAAACTTGCTCTTCAATGGAGAGTAAAAAAGAAAAAGCCAAACTAACTGCCATCGAGTCAGATCCAACTCATAGCAACCCCTCCTTGGGTTTCCGAGGCAGTATCACTACAGAAGTAGATTGCCCAATCTTTCTTCCGAGGAGTGGCTGGTGGGTTTGAACTGCCAGCCTTCTGGTTAGCAGTCAAGTGCCTTAGGCACTACGCTACCAGAGCTCCCAGAATGGAGAGTAGCTAAAGGAAATGGAAGAAATGACAAGATAAAAGAGCTGAACAGAAAACTTCAAAGTCAGCTCGAGAAGACAGTCACTTATTATAATGAAATATGGAAAGACCTGGAGTTAGAAAAACAAAAGGGAAAAACAGGCTCAGCATTTCTCAAGCTGAAAGAACTGAAGAAAAGATTCAAGTCTTATTCAGGAAACATAAAAAAAAGATGGAAGGAATACACAGTCACTGTACCAAAAAGAACTGGTGGATGTTCATCTATTTTAAGAGGTGTTATATGATCAAGAATCAATCTTGATCTGAAGGAAGATGTTGAAGCTGCACTGAAGGAATTGGTGAAAAACTAGGCTCCAGGAATTGATGATATATCCATTGAGATGTTTCAACAAACAGATACTGCACTACTGCACTAGAGGCACTTACTTTTCTATGCCAAGTAATTTGGAAGACAACGACCTGGCCAACTGACTGGAAGAAATCCGTATCTGTACTCATTCCAAAGAAAGGTGATCCAACAGAATGTGGAAATTATTGAACACTGTCATTAATATCACATGCAAATAAAATTTTGCTGAAGATAATTCAAAAACAGTTGTGACAGTATATTGACAAGAAGCTTCCAGAAATGCAAGCTGGATTCAGATGAGGACGTGAAATGAGGGATATCATTGCTGGTGTCAGATAGATCTTGACTGAAAGGAAAGAATATAAAAAAGATGTTATTTGTGTTTCATTGGGTGAGCTCTAGTGCCTAGAGCTCTAGTGTGTTTCATTGGGTGGCGTAGTGCCTAAGGCATTTGACTGTTAACCAGAGGGTTGGTGGTTCAAACCCACCAGCCACTCCTCAGAAGGAATATTGGGCAATCTACTTCCATAGTGATACCGCCTTGGAAACCCAAGGAGGGGTTGCTATGAGTCGGATTCGACTCCACAGCAGTGAGTTTGGAGTTTTGATTTTGTGTTTCATTGACTGTGCAAAAGCATTTGGCTGTGTGGATCATAACAAATTATGGATAACATCAAGCAGAATGGGAATTCCAGAACACTTAATTGTGCTCATGAGGAACCTGTACATAAACCAAGAGTCAGTCATTCGAACAGAACAAGGGGATACTACATGGTAAAATCAGGAAGGGAATGCATCAGGGTTGTATCCTTTCACCATACTTATTCAATCTATACGCTGAGTAATCTGAGAAGCTGGACTATATGAAGAGGAACATGGCATCAAGATTGGAGGAAGATGCATTAACAGCCTGTGCTATGAAGATGACACAACCTTGCTTGCTGAAAGTGAAGATAACTTAAAGCACTTACTGATAAAGATTAAAGACTACAATCTGCAGTGTGGATTACACCTCAACATAAAGAAAACGAAAATCCTCAGAAATGGACCAGTAAGAAGCATCATGACAAATGCAGAAAATATTGTCAAAGATTTCATATTACTTGGATCCACAATCAATACCGTAGGAAGCAGCAGTCAAGAACGTATTGTACTGGGCAAACATGCTGCAAAAGACCTCTTTAAAGTACTGAAGAGCAAAGATGTCTCTTTGAAGACTAAGGTGCGCCTAACTCAAGCATTGTGTTTTCAGTTGCCTCATATGCATGTGAAAGGTGGACAATGAACAAGGAAGAGGGAAGAAGAGTTGATGCTTTGGAGTTGTGGTATTGGTGAAGAATACTGAAAGTACCATGGACTGCCAGAAGAACTAACAAATCTGTCCTGGAAGAAGTGCAGCTGGAATGTTCCTCAGAAGCGAGAATGGCCAGACCTTGTCTCATCTACTTTGGTCATGTTGTCAAAAGATACCATTCTCTGGAGAAGGATATCATGCTTAGTAAAGTGAAGGGTCAGTGAAAAAGGGGAAGGCCCTCAATGAAATTGATTGGCACAGTGGCTGCAATGATGGGCTCAGGCATAACAGCGATTGTGAAGCTGGCACATGACTGGGCAATGTTTTGTTTTGTTGTACACGGGGCCGCTATGAGTTAGAACCCAGTTGATGGCACCTAAGAACAACAACAACAGGAACCTGAGACAGATGGTAAACAATATGAGCTTTCTCAACTCAGGTTATGGGCCCAGCCACTCTCCACAAGGCCTCCTTTGTCTTCATCAAGTCCAGGGACCCTTTGTGCATTGGTACACATGCAGCTACCTGACCATCAGAGACAAGACTAGGCCAAACTAGGCAAGCAGCCTTCATTCTGGAACTTTGCCCTAACCACTAATACATAGGAAAGGTAGTGATGTGAGAGGACTATGAGCTCATATTCTGTGGTTAACCAGCCTGGTAAAAAGAGGTGGGGCCAACAGGGAGAGGGAAAGTACTCCAAAGGAGGCAACAGCATGTGCACAGGCCTGGTGGCTGGAAAAACTTGTGTGTGGAAACTGCTAGAGCAGGGTTGGGAGGGGCAGAGGGAGACAGTGGCTTTGTGGAGCAGGTTTGGAGTACCCAGGATCTGGTAAGGCAATTTAAAGCACTTGGGTTTTGTCCTGAGGACACTGAGGCTTTTTTTAAGCAGGTGCATGATGAGAATGACAGTTTTGAAAGACTGTTTTGGCTGAGGAATGGCTGAGAGAAGGCTGGAGGCTGGCAGTTCAGGAGGAGGTTATGGATGTGGTACAGAGCAGTAATGGTGGTGGCTCAGGCCAGGGATATGGTAGTGGTGATGGAGTCTGTTGATATTTAGATCCGGGACTTGGCTATTTACTGGATGCAGGAGATGGGGCAAGGAAGAGAAGCAGTCACGGATGACACCCAACCTCCTGGGCAAGTGGCAAGCCAGGTTGCTGACAAAACCCTGACAAGAATGTTAGGTCACAGGCTAGAGATTAGCCATGGAATGGTGGTTTCAGAATTCACAATGGAAACTATGCATATTCCCAATGGTCCCTTCAAGCCCTCCTTAACATCTCCCACACAATTTAATTTTGCATGAGTCCATCCTCGTCTTGGTAACAGCCTGAGCACTCCTGAAAGACTGCCTTCAGAGCATCTGCCAATGGCCTGTTGGTGCAGAGCCAGTGCCTCCCTTGTCCTCGCTGGAACTGTCTCCAGCTTCACCACATGCAAAGTATCATTGTGGGTTCTTTGTGGTTTTCCAGGATGGCTCCTGGGAAGCAGGGAATACAATGAGGATCTGAGGATCTGTAGTTCAGTCTGACATTCCAATCCTCTAACATAACTGTTATGAATTGAATTGTGTTCTTCCCCAAAGGGAGCTCTGGTTGCATAGTGCCTAAGGCATTTGACTGCTAACCAGAAGGCTGGTGGTTCAAATCCACCAGCCACTCCTCAGAAGGAAGGTTAGGCAATCTACTTCCGTAGTGGACATCTGTAGTGATACTGTCTTGGAAACCCAAAGAGGGGTTGCTATGAGTTGCTCTGACTCAACATCAATGAGGTTTTTTTTTTTTGGTTCCCCCCTCCCCCGAAAATTTATGTTGAAATCCTAACCCTTGTACCTGTAAATATGACCCTGTTTGGAAGCAGAGGTTTTCTTTAGCTGTGTTAATGAGGTTATATCAGAGCATGGTGGGTTCCAAACCTAATTACTTCTGAGTTGTAAAAATACAGAACAGACAAGAGATACACAGAGAGGGAAGACATCATATGAAGACAGACATGTATGGCAAATGCATCTACAAGTTAGGAATGCCAAGGATTGCTGACAGCTACCAGAATCTGAAACAAACAAACAAACAAACCTTTCCTCTAGAGCTGTGTCCTGAATTCAGACTTCTAGCCTCCTGAACTGTGAAGAAATAAATTTCTGTTCTTTAAGGCCACTCATTTGTGGTATCGCTTGTTAAGACAGCACTAGGTAACTGAGACAATGACTTTGTGAAGGAGAGGGGATCGCCTGGGAATATAGGTGAGGATGTCAGACAAGTCATGGGGGCTTTGAACCTGAAAGATCCTCACCTGAAAGTCCTGAGGCTTTGAAGACAGAGCCGTGGGCACAATGCAGCCAGGAACCATTAGTTTTTGCTTCTCCACTTCTCTTGTCGTTATGCCAAGGATGTCTTCATCCTCTGGGGAAAAAGTCCAAGGTGGGCTCTGAGGCCAGGGTTTGCGGAGGTTTTGAATCTCTTTCCTCATTTCATTTTTCTATCCCCCATGACCCATTCCTGGTTGAAAATATAGTTAAGAGTCCCACATAGAGGCACATGTCCATGGACTCCCCTCATCCTCAATAGCTATGTCTCCCAAGGCCCCACTCTGCACACACAAGGGCTTTTGAAATGGTCATCCATTCCTTGGAAGGAAGGTTGGGCAATCTACTTCCGTAGTGATACCACCTCGGAAACCCAAGGAGGGGTCTCTATGAGTCGGGTCTGAGTTGATGGCGCATAACAACAACAAGTGAAAGTTTACAGAGTAAATTAGTTTACCACTTGATACTTTGTATTATATACAAAGGGTTCCATGACATTGGTTGAATTCCCCACAGTATGTCACCACTCTCTCCATTTCCACCCTGGGTTCTCATTTCCTTTTGTCTTGATTTCCTGTCTTCTCATCTTTGCTTTTGGAAAATGTTATCCTTTTGTATAATAGAATATTCTAAGGAACACGTTCTTCTTGTGTGTTAAATTCTTTTTTGTATGGGTGTATTGTTTGGCTGAAAGATAGTCTTCAGGAATAGCTTCTGTTTCAGATCATAATGGTATCTTAGGGACATAGTCTTGGGTGGATATTGAGTCTTATGTCTAGAGATGATGAGTGGACATGTGTGGTGACAGATGGGCTCAGGCAGGTGCCTGGAGATCTGGCCTCTAGAACCCTGTAGCTTCCAGGACTCTGACCTGGTCACATTTCCTCCATATTCCCCACAGGATGGATCTTGAATGTCCCAAAGAATCCTTCCAACTATGCTTGGAAAAGGGAAGGGGTAAGACCCAGGGAAGGACGTACCTGTCTTAATATTCTGGGTAGTCACAAGGGTCACCTGTAGGGTGGCAGTGCACTGCAAAGCAAAGGCAGGGGAGTTGTAAGCCAGGCCCTGAGATCCTTTGCCAAAGCTCAACATTTGAACATGATCCAGCCCAACTAGATTCATGCCCAGTCCTTCTGGGTGGAGTAATGCTGTGCATGGTATGAGGGCATACCATAAGGGCCTATGCAATCTGGGGAGGAGGGAATTTATAAACTCATGGGGTAAAAGCAGTGGTTTATGGGGCAGGGGGGATTTGGAGAATCAAGGAACCACATGGTGGTAGTGGTGGTGGTGGCAGGAGAGGACACAGATGAGTGAGGAGGAGAGGGAGAGGTGACTTAAGCACCAGTTCAGAAGCCACTGATGCTAACAGCTCTTCCCCTAGCCAAACATCCCATCACCTCATGTGGTAACTCCTGCAAACACTTGCTAATGACCTCCCCTCCAAGCTCTCTCACTATCCACACAGTCTCCACATCATCACCTGAATTGTCCCATAAGTGTTCTCTTAAAAAAAGCCAGTTGCTATCCAGTTGACTTGACTCAAGACCACCCCATGTGTGTCAGAGGAGAACTGTGCACCACTGGGTTTTCAATTGCTGTAGATCACTAGGCCTTTTTGCTGAAGTGCCTCAGGGTGAACTTGGACTGCTAACCTTTCAGGTGGCAGCCAAATGTGTTACCATTTGCACCACCCAGGAACTCAAAGTATCACCTACACACCTATCTAAATGATCAGAGTAAAGCCGCACTTTACCACAATGGCCTTTACTTTCTGGTCCCCGCCTACCTACCTAGCCTCATCTCTCCCACTCCTCTAATAGGTTGTGCTTCTGCCTTGTCCATCCAGCCTTTGCACAGCCACTTTATGACCTCTGCATAGGATTGTCTTCCTTTCTTGTCCACTATTCAAACTCACACCACTCCTTAAGATTCATCTTAAACATCACCTCCTCTGTAAAGCCTTCCAGGTAAAATAGTTTACTCCCTGTTGACCATTGGTGGCCTAGCTTTACTAAACCTTGTATATATATATATATATATGCTGGAGTGCTTATCACTGTAAGTGGTGCCTATGCCAATAGAATGTGGGCCTCATTCAATTTTATATCCCAGAGCCTAGCCCAGTTGCTGGCAACCACTGGGTGATCAATGAGTCAATCTAAATGGAATGAAGGGTGGATGAGTGGCTGGATGGAGGGATGGGAGACATCTGAGGTGATGGCAGTGAGTGAGGTTCCTCCTGAAACCGAGTGCTATTTCCCCCACCCTGGCACCTGGATGGGAATAGATAGGTAGACTAGATTATCCCCAACTATTTTCCCACCCCAACTATTTCCCACCCTGGCAGATGAGTATTCAGTTCCTTAAAGAACTGAATGGAAAACATTCCTTCCTGCAGATGGTAGACTTGCTAAAAGTATTTTAGAAATAACTTGTAAAGTAACTCTGGCCAGGGACAATAGAAATGTTATAGAAACAACTTGTAAATGAACTCTGGCCCAAGGACATAAGGGAACAAAAGTTAATTGCTGACCCTCTCCCCTCTGCCCAAGCCCCTATGAGCTGATAACAAGAAACTAGTGACCCTTCCAGTCACTCATTTCACATTCACACCCCAAATTCCTCAACCTTTTGTGAATATGCACAACCCCCTCTCCTGAAACTCCTACAAAAACTGTGTTTCAATGGGAGTTAAGATCTGGGTACTAACTACCCCTAACTCCTTGCACTGCAGCTTTGCAATAAATAATTTTTCCTCCTCTCAATCTCAGTGTATAAACTGTTTTGGTCTGACTGAGCACAGGGCAGGGACCCACGGGCTTGGCCTGACTGAGCACAGGGCAGGGACCCACGGGCAGAGACCCACGTTTGGTCCGATAACACTCCAAGGGTGGGAAGCACTCTCATGGGGTGGGGCACTCTGCTGAGTGAAGCTTAGCTTCACTGGCTACCCCCACTCTCCCAATTCTCTCTTCCTGGGTCTTTCTTGGGCCTGACTCACATCTGTAGAGTCCATGGAATGGTTGAGCAGGGGTAAATCTTTCACGAATAAGACCTCATGTGGTTGGTCCACCAGGGGCTTCAGCAGTACTGTGGCCAGGCCAATGAACCTGAAGACAAGGAGCAGACGTGAGTTCCTGAGCCAGAGTCTTTTCTGTCCCAGGCATGGTTTTATCCAGAGATGGTTTTCTCCCAGAAACTGTTGTTGATAGAGAAGCTGAAGAAAGGATATAGCGAAGTGGAACTTGAGATACTCTGGGAATTAGTTTCTGGGCTTCTAGGACAGTGGATACCTCAACCACAGTTTCTCTGTCTCCCACACCTTCCCAGAAGCTCTGCTCCCACATTCCTCCTGAATGGGAACCAGGCCAAGTGATAGCTGATTGGATTATAGGTAGACACCTGGCCTAAGCTAGACCAATCAGATTCTCTGTCCTAAGAATTTTGACCTGAGAAGTCATAGCTTCATTCTCAGTAGGATGTCAGTATGAGTGGGGCAATAGCAGGGGGCAGTTGATGGAAAGCCAAGGTTGAGCAGAATGGAGAGGAGCATGGAGCAACAGAGATTTAAGACCTGAGGCTTCAGATGGAGTAGCTGCTGGGTTCCCAAGTTTCTAGTTTTAGCCCAACTGCACTCCCAGCCTTAATACCCTTCTAAAAATTCCTCCATTCTGTTTTTCTGTTTGCTTGAGTGGGTTATATTCCTTGCATCTGAATAAATCATGGGTTAGTGACAGAAGATACATTGTCTGCTATTGCTCTGGTTAGGGGCATCAGGCTTCTCTTGACTTTCTCTGCCTCACCTTTCTTTCTTTGTTGAGCCCATGTCCCGAAGGATGATTTGCAAGAAGGAGTCATTTTCCAGGGGTCCAGTCCAGAGGTGCCAGAGCAGGGTCTATGGGAGACACAGAGAGGTCAGTATTTTTCCTCTGCCCTCCTCATCATATCTTTCCAGGAACATGAGGAAAGATGCAATGAATGGCTGGCACTATGTTTCTCTAAAACTAAGAAACATCTTTCACGTCTAATTTCCAAAGGGGATAACATTTGCTACTTCTCACTAAGGTGCAAGTCATGCTACCTGGGTTCTTGCTACTTGAACTGCAGTACTTGAACATGTCAGGAATTAAGGAATTAAATTAAGTTAGGGACTATGGGGGTATAGATGGATGGGAAGATGAGAGCGGATTCTGCTTTGGGCTTCTAAGAACATGAAGATGGCCAGGTTGGACTAGTCAATGGGCAATAGCATGGTCCATCCCCAAAGAGGGGGACAAAGACCAAGAACAGCTGTGGGCAGATGTGGCTGCTGCAGCCCTCAGGTCTTCACAGCCTTGTAAGCTCAGAGACTACTCTGAGGTCAAGATGTCCTGGCCTTGAGAAAAAGTTGTGAACTCCTTGTCCATTCTGAGAACTCGCCTAGATGCTCTGCCTACTTGTCATTAGGTTGTTGTTTCCTCTCTGGGCTTGTCCTGGTATGTCATACCTCATTCCACGTGGGGTTGTTCCCTTTCACAGCAAGAGTTCTCTTCTTGATATCTGCAAGGACATCAAGGGTCTGGCATTGGTGGTGGGACATATTTCAAAGTCCGGGTTCAAATAGACACTCTAAGAAAACTTCAAGTCTACTTTGGCAGGTATGACATGGCACTGATTCTCCAGGAACGGGGGCGATGAAAATTTCTCACTTTTTTTAAGAGTGTGTCACCATGTGACAGATAATGCTATGCATTCCCCAAACAATTTCATTTTTTTGCTAGATACATTGTTCTCACTGCACTGAAGGAACTGGTGAAAAACAAGGTTCCAAGGATTGGGGAATACCCATTGAGATATTTTCAACAAACGGATGCCATGCTGGAGGCACTTACTTGTCTATGCCAAGAAATTTGGAAGACCAACTGACCAACTGACTGGAAGAGATCCATATTTGTACCCATCGCAGAGAAAGGTGACCCAACAAAATGTAATTATTGAATAATATCATTAATATCACATGCAAGTAAAATTTTGCTGAAGATAACTCAAAAATGGTTGTGGCGGTATATTGACAGGGAACTTCCAGAAGTGCAAGCTGGATACAGAAGAGGATGTGGGATGAGGGATATTGTTACTGATGTCAGATGGATCTTGGCTGAAAGCAAAGAATAACCAGAAAGTTGTTTACTTGTGTTTTATTGACTATACAAAAGGATTCAACTGTGTGGATCCTAACAAATTATGGGTAACATTGAGAAGAATGGGGATTCAAGAACACTTAATTATTCTCATGAGGCACCAGTTCATAGACCAGGAGGCTGTCATTTAAGCAGAACAAGGGGATATTGCATGGTTTAACAGGAAGGGTGTGTGTCAGGGTTGTATCCTTTCATCACAATTATTGGGTCTTTATGCTAAGCAAATAATCTGAGAAGCTGGATTATATGAACAAGAATGCAGCATCAGGATTGGAGGAAGACTCATTAACAACCTTTGATATGCAGATGACCCAACCCTGCTTGCTGAAAGTGAAGGAGACTTAAAGCACTTACTGATGAAGATTAGAGACTACAATCTGCAGTGTGGATTTCCACCTCAACACAAAGAAAACAAAAATCCTCACAAGTGGATCAATAAGCATTCTCATGATAAATGGAGAGAGATTGAAGTTGTCAAAGATTTCATATTGTTGGTCCCAGGTATAGAAGGGAGTGTCGATGCGGAAAAAGTGCCACAGACTGACAATGCAAAAGCAAAGGGAAAGTTTATTCAAGCTCAAGCTCAGACCCTCAACCTTTACCGACCACGGTTCAGGATTGAGAGCCTTGAACAAAGGAAAAGGGGGTCTTTTATCGGGGATGGAGCAGGTACGGGGGAGTTTCAATCAGAAAATTACAGGATTGGTTGTCATTTTTCAAATCGCGCGTTGTCTCTAGTTGATTGGCCTCTGTCCTGTGGCCGAGGCCGCAAACTGCCCTTTCTAGGAATTTCAAGTTTTTCTGATATTTACTGATTGGTTGTTACTAGGGGGTAGAAAAGGAGGGGAGGGGGTCTTAGGACTCTGTGAGGTAAATCCCTGAGGTGTGGGGAACGTGCTGGAGTTCCCGGCACTAAATGGCTCCTAGTTAAAGAATAATTACGTGGAGGGGAGGGGGTCTCACAATATTACTTGAATCCACAATCAACACCAATGGAAGCAGCAGTCAAGAAATCAGATGTAGTATTGCACTGGATAAATCTGTTGCAAAAGACTGCTTTGAAGTGTTGAGCAAAAATGTCTGTTTGAAGACTAAGGTGTGCCTCACCCAAGCCATGGTATTTTCAATAGCCTTATACACATATGAAAGCTGGACAATGAATAAGGAAGACCAAAGATGAATTGATGCTTTTGCGTTGTGGTGTTGGCAAATAATACTGAAAATGCCTTGGACTGCCAGAACTAACAAATCTGTCCTGGAAGAAGTGCAGCCAGAATAGAATACTCCCTGGAAATGAAAATGGCCAGACTTCGTCTCATCTGCTTTGATCACATTGTCAGAAGGGATCATTTCCTGGAGAAGGATATCATGCTTGGTAAAGTAGAGGGTCTGCTAAAAAGGGGAAGACCTTCAACAAGTTAGATTGACACAGTGGCTGCAACAATTTGCTCAAATATAGCAAGGTTGGACAATCTACTTCTGTAGTGATACCACCTTGGAAACCCAAGGAGAAGTTGCTGTCACTAGGATCTGACTTGACAGCAGTGTGTTTGGTTTACTTTTGGTGAGGATGGCGCATGAGCAGGCAGTATTTTGTTCTGTTGTACGTAGGGTTTTTATGAGTTGTAGCCAACTCAACACCAGCTAACAACAACAACAACATTGTTCTCAGCCATTTTGCAGTCAGGTAGGGCTGTGTGACTCATTCTGACCAATGGGGCATAGGAGTGATATTCACTATTGCCAGGTCTGGCTTCTAAAATCTCCCATGAGATTCTCCACTCTCCTTCTCCCCACACCCCACATCCACCCTCATGATCTGCTAGCAGGGTGGTGATACAAGTGGCAAGCAGGTGGTCTCTAAGCCATCATTTGGAGGAGCCGTTCAGGAGAGCAGCTCGACCAGCAACATCCATGCAGGGATTGCATGATCAAGAGTTGAACTTTTCTTGTGTTAAGCCACTGAGCTTTAAGGATTTATTACAGCAGCAAAGCCTAGTGTACACTAACTACAATGAGTTGGAAGTGTTCTACTCCACCGACTAAAATCCCCCCTCCCAGAAATATCTTTAATAGAGCGCAGTTGTCCTGAAAAAAAAAAAAAAAAACTCTCAGTTGAATAAAAAATGCTATTTCTTCTTCTTTTTTTTTCCTCCTGGACTGTGAAACTGTGCTTGCTGAACATGACAATACTCTGAGATTGTATATCCAGAATGTAAGGGTAAGTTTATGTGTGCCTGTTGGGTGGTAGAGAGGGTCATAGGTATATGGGGAAAGAGGCCAGGAAGGAGAACCACCACAGGAATGAAAATATCAAACATATATAGGTAATCATAAGAATTGGTGAATAAATCTGTGTGTAATCCCAGGGTTCTGGTTCTAAGCATCTTTGTGAGAAATATTTCTAGAAGGATAAAGATGATGAGCAAAAGGTGGTGGGAAAGGTGGCTCAGAATCAGAGAGAGGAATTGTGAGGCTCTTTCCTGGCTAACTGGATTTAGTCAATCATGGCAAATACGTGTTGAACACCTACTGAAAACCCAGTTGCTGTGGAGTTGACTCTGATTCTTGGTGACCCCATGTGTGTCAGAGTAGAATTGTGTTCCATAGGCTTTTCTTTTTTTTTTTTTT